ACGAGCTTGCCACATATACGAGCTGCCAATGTGATACTATGACCCCCGACTGTATTCGCGAAATGACAATATAAGTCAAGCTAATAGACAAGGCTCTACAATTCTAATTATATATTATTGTGTGATATTTTGGAATTAACGTTCCGGTGGTTTGACAAGCAATCCTCCGAAACGGGGGGCAACTGATGGATGTATAATTTAAATATCCATAATTAAGGGAAGATTGCTAAATTAACGCACTATTGAGATAGGCTCTGTAGATTACGATAAGGATTACAGATTGAGATAGGCTTTACAGATTACGATAAGGATTAAAGATTGTGATAAGGATTAAAGATTACGATGAGGATTAAGTCTACCGATTACAATAAGGTAATTCTACGTGATATCTTAACCTAAGCCCTATAAAAAAGGCGGGGTAATCAACGTTTGGAGGTACGCAATAAACCCTAACTCAATTTCTTGATTTCTTTGAAGAGATTACTCCGCCCACTGACTTGTTCGTCGGAGCCTACTCCACCGGTAACACACTGGTGTTTGTAGGATCACTTTTTCTTCTCTCTGTTCAGGAAGTCGGATTGGATCAGATCATATCCGGGTTGCGCAGAATCCATCCTCAACAAATGGTAACCCTCAAAGTATTTATGTTTTTAAAGTGATGAATTTTGAAGCAGTCACTTACCCAAAATAAAAATAACTGAGCAATCACTTAAACCGTTCTAACTTCTAATCACCAACAATTAGAAAATTAAAAAATCAAGCGAAACATTTCTTTGCGGAGCAACAACCAAAAAGAAATATCAAATAACAAAATAATACAAAACTAGCAAAGAAAGATGAAACCCTAAACAATAGCAAAAGAAGGGAACCAAGGATATGTATATATTTGATATATATGTATACGAAAAAATTATTTTTTGTGTGTGTGTGTGTGTCTGTGTGTGAAGATATATAAAGGAAAAAATAAAAATATGACGTACCTGAAAAAAGTGCGAAAAAACGTTCACGAGACGGAGGTGTGATGAAGAGAAATAGATTTCGGACACTATTCTAAGAAGGAATTCATATCTCCGGTGAGAGAGGACGGATCCAAGTAAAGTGACGATTGGTCATCGGATGCGATAAGCTCTGAAACTAATGTGTAGAAGATGTAAATCAAAGCTTTTGGTTTAGGCCTCGGTTGGATGGAGGGATTTGGAGAGAAAAGAAAGGGAAGGACAGTGTTAAGTGTGTTTGGATGGAGAGAATAGAAGGGAAAAGAAATGATTTAAAGAAATAGATATCCCTCTAAAACAGTAAAATCAAATTCCCTCAAAATTGAGAAGATTTATGAAGAAAGGAAGAGAAAGCAAGCAAAAGACAAAATTAGCCTTCCAAATTAGATTTCAACATTTGCTTTTACCCCGTCATCAGTAACTGAGAGCAAAATTAGTTACTGATCTTCTACCTGTCGGCAGGCTTTTTTGATTTAGTTCTACAAATTTTGTGGATTTGACTAACCTAATTGTTTACCTTCAACTAACAATGCAACTAAAGTTTCATGTTACTGTTGTCACATATGGACCTGATACTGAATGCTGTTTGATCATGGATTTAGAAAAAGAAAAAGAAAGTGACATAAACAAAGAAACAGATAAATAAGAATATAAACAGTGATTTATTGCACTTTCCATTGATTTTCATTATCTTGTTGCTTGTTCTCACAAATAAAAGTGTATTAGATGACATTGCAAAGGGCTTGACACTACTCCATGGGTTAATACAGTATTATCTTTTGATAAGTAAATTTGAAATAGGTTATATGTGCAATGATTGGGGACTGATCCAGAATTAGATTATTATAATGTTAACACCAATTTACAAAAGGGTAATATAATAGTTTGATTATTATCATCTTCTCTCTTTTCTTTCCTCTGTTTTATCCAAACAAGCTTTCCTTTATTTTCTCTCCTATCTATCCAAATATAAATATAAATTATAGCTATTATTTCCTTTCTTTTCGTTTCTTTTCTTTTCTCTTCTAATCCTTTTTTTTCTTTTCTCTCCTCGGTATCCAAACAAAGCCTTAGGATTAGTTTGGTGAAATGGAAAAGGGAGGAAAGGGAAGAGAAGGTGATGGAGGGTGATTAAAAATTTGTGTTTGGCTAAAATGGGTGGAAGGGAAGGTGATGGAGAGGGAAGACTTTGGAGGGTTATCTATAGGTTTATACAATAGTTTTCTTATCCTCCCAAAAATGGGAGGAAAAATGAAGCAAAGTGAAGGAGAGGGTTGATATATTATTTGTGATGCCAAATTTGTCCTCAATATTACATATACATACAAGTTAGTAGTTGCAGAGAGAGTGAGAGACGATGGGCCAGCGACTGAAGCATGCGAACAGCGACCCCGAACTGGAACAATGGCGACGGAAATTGAAAGATATGGGTTTTGATTTTCTGAACAATCTAAAATGATATACCGATACGGGTTTTGAACTTTTGATTGTTGCAGACAGATAGATAAATTGAAATATATGGGTTTTGAACTTCTGATTCTTATAGTACACACAGAGAGAGAGAGAGAGAGAGAGAGAGAGGGGCAAGTTCAGAGTTGAGAACGAGAATAGAGATGGAGGCGAAATTGGGGAGGCTAACATGATTTGCCCTAATTTTTTTTTTTTTCTTTTCTTGTCGGCATGCTAGGAGACAATATAAATATATAAATATAAATATTTATCTTTTAAAATATAAAAAAGGTATAATAGTTAATTTATTAGAATAATTCTCTTTCTTTTCCCAAACATGATTATTATTATCTCCTTTTTTTTTTTTTTTTTTTTCATTAATCAACCAAACACAAATTAAAATCATCCTTCACTTCTCTTCCCTTTCCCTCATAACTAATGTTATTTTTTCCCTTCAAACCCACCGTACCAAACATAGCCTTAGGTTTTCTAAAGAAACCCCTTTCACGGTTATTTGCCAAAATCTATATAATGTTAAGAAAATCACATATTAATCTTTTTTTTTTTTCAAGGCGGTTAGTATTATTAAGTCTTATTCGTTTATAGGGTATTCATAATAGTTTATACTTTATAGTTATGTATTTATAATTTATTGAATATTTTTAGTCAATTTTAATTTTCAACAAAAATTGTTGATTTATTCTCTAAAATAGTACTATTCTTTTTTATTTGAAAATCAATTGAATATTTTTTTTATTATTTAATAAAATAATTAGTTACTTATGGAATTTATAATTTGAAAAAATAAATCAAAATTGTAGATAATGCATTTAAATTATTGACTGATTTTAAGAATGATTTTAAAAAGTTAAATATAGTAGGCAAATTGACATGTAATGTAATGGAAAAGTTTGGAGAGAGAAAATTCGTATGGCCGACCTCATTCATCTGAGATTAAGACAAAGATAATTGAAAATGTATAAATAAAGATTGGAATGTTTTAAATTTGTGTAGTAACATGTTTTAAGAAGTATGATTTAATAATAGTCTTGAAGATGGAATACACCTGGAAAAGTAAAACTTTGTTTTTAATCACTCTTTATGATATTAAATGTCAAAAAAAAAAACGTGTTTAATATTGAAGATAAAATTAAAACAATACATAAAAAAGAGGAGGAGGAGAAATGCAAAATTAAGTGTTATTTCTCTATTTACTTGGTATGGAAAACAAGAGAAAAATATGAAGGAAAAGAAAAATAAATTTTCTTTCTTAATTAACACCTACTTACATCTTTTATTTATTGCATAAATTTTTGAAAAATAAAATTATTTACAATGTTGATTTTTTTTTTTTCCCATTGATTTATAATGTTGGTTAGGCATGAAAGAAATATGGGATAAATCCATTTTATTTTGCCTTTCCCTTTTCTCATTAAAATTGTCAAAATAAATAAATAAACACTCATAAGAGGCATGTATTAAGGCCGTCTTTTAATATAATAAGAGGACGAACAAAATAAACTATTACATTAATTATGAAAAATTTTGTTTTTTAAATGAAAAGATAATGTTTATTTCTTAACTTGTTTGGTTGATTAATGGAAGGAAAAAGAAAGTATTAACCTTGGAAAATATAGTAAAGAGAAAACAAGGTTTGTGAGTGATTCACTTTCTTTTGTGTGTGTGTGTATATATATATATATATTTATTAAATAAATAAACAAAGAGCAATACGGGTAATTACCAATGGCTAGTTAATTTGGTTCAATTTATGTTTTCAATAACTTACTTGAAAACTAATTAAAAAAATGTAGCATATTTTCACAAAATAATTGTTTATTGTTATCAGTTTTATGAATTATTGAGAATTGTTTTCAATTAACAAAACCAAACAGATACTCTCCTATCTTTTTCCTCAGTGCAGTCCACCTTTAACATGAAGAAAAAAAACAAAATCACTGCAATAGATTAACGAGCCCCTCATTGCCCCTCCAAATTTGTCCATATTCTCCATTTTATCAGAACAAACACAGCATAACGTTTTTTTCTAATTTATCTTGAGTACTCTACTACTGTTATAATTATAAAAAAAAAAAGAAAAGAAAAAAACTCACAAGGAAGCCTGCAAACTGGAGATGCAACATAATTTATATCAGTATGTAGATCAGAGAATGTTCATTCCAGATAAAGAAAAATATTTCTTGCAATGGAAACACATCTACCAATAAAATATTTCATCTGTTGCCATGCTGAGGGAAACTGCTATTGTTTCAAAATATCAAATGGCATATAATGATAAAAGTATTTCTTCAGCTACCATTTACTGAGCAGAATTACACAGAAGATAGATTCACCCAACCTAGGTATCGATATTGTAAGGCAATTTATGGCTTCTCTCTCTTCTCATCATCTGCCTAGAAGCAGATTCCGGCATGTCAAATACATACTGAATCATTGTAGTCGTCATCCTTGCTTTTATCCCGTCAAATATATGCTGAATGCATACCAGAATCAGACAAATTTGAGCGGACGTAACACACACATAGAGAGAGAGAGTACAGGAACTTGTCACATTGTATTGCGCAAATCAAGTTGGAACATTGCCAAATTTACTACAATATTGTTCTCTACAGCAAACACACAAGTTTTTAACAATTACACATGCATACATTGCTTTCTACTTTTTGCAGGGTATTGGAAGTATGTTCATGTAGAAGCCTGCTCAATTCTTCCTTTATAGTACTTCATATACAATTCAAAGTGATGATTGTTATCACAAAGATTCTACTTCTTTTCATTTCTTATGGCACAGAAAAAACTACCATAAGCCACTGCTTCAGACTATTATACGTATCTAACCTCCTGAATCAGCATAAATTTAAGGATATCCCTTTTCAAAAATAATCATTAGCTGTACAAAGACGATTTAACATCCAACAGCAAAAAGTACTGCATCATTCCAATACTGAGCCTGACCGTCGAGCTGGATAATAATTATTCAATTCCCTGTGTTCGTTAGTCTCTTGGTTGGTAAAAAACCAAGCCAGTTAGAGAAGGTAATGCCCCGTGAGACAAGGTATATTATAAACACAACATATGCAGTTGTAAAAGTGGATATCACCGAGCTAAACAACACTCCACTTCCTTCAGAAGAGAAAAATTGCAGCAAAAGATATCCGTTGATTACAATCACCAGGGCAGCCACGAGCCACGAAGCCATCTATGAACAAAGAGCAAGAAAAAGAATGTGAATTCATAGCCACTTATCTTCAATTACTAACTAAATTAAAAGTAAGACAGTCAAAGCAATATGCAAAGCTTGCAATATAAAACATGGATTTGACTTTTTCTTTGTGCTTTATGGAAATCATAAATTGCAAGAGCAAAACAAAGAATATGGCATCATTTATCAAGGAACAATTTGGTAACAAGATCTTACTCCTGTGACGTAACAATGGCAACTAAAGGATTAAAAATACAAGCATGAACACTGGAAGAAGATCACCACATTTCTCTTGAACACAGTATCAGCACGTTTTCACCGTGATTTATAGCTTCAATTAAAATGTGGCTATGACAGTCACTTTGGTAAAGCTCATCAACTTCTGTTCTTCAATGTCATTAACGACAACTCTAAATGAAAAGAGCTTGGGGTATTTACCGAACCAAGTAAAAATCAACAATTGAAGAGCCTGACATCAATTATCAGGCACATATTCACTTTTGGACAAGTACTAGCACTCTGATTCACTATAAATGGAATTATTAGGGAATAGGACGGACAAACAAACATATGTTTATCACTAACAATGTCTTTCCCACAGATATATGATACAAGTCATTAATGGACACAGAGTATCTTAGTGGAAAGGGGGGCACAACTCAAGCAATGTTATCACTCAATGTAAACTGGAAGAGAAACACATGCACGCAAAAAACATATTGACTTAGTTTGAATATTTGTGTTTTTTCAAATTATGTTGATATCAACATTGTCATGGAACTTTCAAAATGAATTAAACTGGTAGTTATAAGCACAATGGATTCCAACAAAACATCATTTCCTCTATTCACGAATTATAAAAATCAAATTCAACAATTTCCAATGGTAACAAGTATATAATACCACAAGAGATTAGGGGACAATGATGTCAACGACTCAAGGCTAAATACGATAGCATATTCATATGTAAATAGCAGATAAAACATGTTGATTGATAGAGTTCTATCAGAAGCACTCAAAATTTCTATTTCAGTTAATGATTGTAATTACAGTACTTTTGATTGTACAAATTAAGTAGCGAAAGATACTGGGGATCGCCAGATCTGTGGAAAACTATGAATTGAATTTAAGTAATTGTACAATCAGGTGGTAAAAGAAATGGCCCAATTGGTCATCAAGGACCTATGGGCAAGATGCAGAAAAGGCAAAAGGAGAAAAAAATGTACCTTGAGTACAGGGCCAATTTTAAAAACACCCATGATCTCCTCCTTGGACACCAAACAAAGAAGAGGAATAAGTGCAAAGGGTATTTGAATTGACTGAAGCACGTTAAGCCATTCATTCAGAACATCTAACGTGTCCTCGGAGGTATCAAAAACAAGAGCTACTATCATAGTTGGGACAATAGCGCAGCTTCTCGTTATCAATGCCCTAAGCCATTTTTTCAACCGCAAGTTTAGAAAACCTCCCATGATAAACTGCCCAGCATAAGTGCCCGTGATGGTGCTACTTTGGCCAGCAGCTAATAACCCAATACCCCAAATATATAGAATTGGGATCAATCCTTTCCCATACTTCTCCTGAAGATACTGCCCTGCATTTAGTAGGCCAATGCTATTGGCTACATTAGTACCATAAAATGCTTTTGCAAAGACAGTTGTAACGAATAGATTAATTATAAAAGAAAATATAATGGCGATGGTGGACTCTATGGAGTAGTAATTGATGGCTTCCTGGACTCGGACAATCTTGCCACGGTCAATCTGTCTTGACTGCACGAGTGCAGAATGCAAGAAAACATTATGAGGCATAATAATGCAACCAACAACTCCCACAGCCTGATGAATTGTTTTTGAGCTAAGTTTTGGAATCAAAAGACCTACAACAGAGTCCAATTTGGCAGCACTTTAGATTCAGAGAAACTAATAGTATTTAAATACAAAAAATGGAAGTGCCAGATATGGTGTAAAAATCAGCTACATCAGGAGAAAGAAATTCTCACCAAGGAGAAGTTCTACGCCATTGGGCTTTGTTTCACCAAACATCCATGCAAATGACAGTGCCATGGTTGCAATGAGGACAGCGAAAACCGCTTCTAATTTTCTCACACCATAGTTCTCAAGAAGAAGAAAGATGAAACTGTTACAAGACATGAACAACAAAGAGAAGTAAACAATGAGGTTATTTTGTCACTTCGTCACTGTTTGTTCTCAAGAACTAATTGGAAAAGGAAAAACAGTAAATTCGAGGACGAGTTGTTCTAAAGTTGAGGGGAGTGATGTATGCACATTTTTTGGTGTAGTTCGTCTAGCCCGTACCCATTTCCAACTGGAAATGACTGATTAATATTAACTAACTTTGGCTTGTGCTATGTGTCAAATTTTTAGCCAAATTTTATAGTTTAGGTTCAAAAACCGTGAATTTTTTTAGTGTTGTAGGAAGACTGTTGAATTTTTCAGAATTTTTGTTGGAGGTCAAAATGAATTTAGAATTTTCTAATTTTGGGTAGGTATCTTATTTTAGTGATTAGGTTTTATCTCCTATTTCGTGATTTTTAGAGACAATGTTAAACTGGACTGTTTTTGAGAATTTCTTTACACATCATTCATGTATTGTAAGAGCACATTACACATTCATTGTCATAATAAGATTTCAGTTTTCTTTCCAACTTGAGCTTGATTTTTGGCTTTGGCATAATTCTATATTAGCCTTGGCTTCGTCATTGTTTTTTCCATTCAATCAAATGAAGGGTTTAGAACTTTAGATATTCATTCCAATAGAAGAATAGTTAAACAAATTGAGCTGCATGAAGAAAACCTAATATTGCTTCACAAAATCCCACAAACACCAATAGAATTAACCACAAACAACAATTCATATATATATATATATATATAGACACACACACAAACACATGTATTTATATCTATAATTGTTGAATAAGTGTGATATGAGTGAGATTACCATACCAATCAGAAGCGGTTATAACAACACCAGCCCAAAGAGGCAAAACCCCATTACTGAGAATCTTAAGAGCAATAGCACTTCCAATGACTTCCTGAATATCGGCGCCAATCAGAGCCATCTCGGCCATCACCCACAACACCAAGCTCGCCCATTTAGGGTATTCCTCTCGGCACAGCTCGGCCAAGTGGCGGCCAGTGGCCACTCCGAGCCGAGCCGCCAGGAGCTGGACGAGGAGCCCCATGGCGGTGGCCCACATGAGCAGCCACAGCAGAGAGTACCCTGCGACCGCACCCGCCTGAAGATCGCCCTCCAAATTACCCGGATCCAGAAACGCTATGCTCATCAAGAACCCGGGTCCGGTGAAGAGCCAGAGCTTCCGCCACGAAAACGGAGGCGTTTTGAACTCGTCGACAAGTTGTTCTTCTTTGTCGTTGAATCCAATGATGTGGATTTTCTCGGTCGAATCGTACGCTGTTTCTTCTCGAACACCATCCTCATCGGGATCGACTGTTCTGTTGAGGAGCAATTGTTGATGTTCTTCGCCAGGTGGCATGTTTCTGGAATTCGGTTGCTTTTAGATTTTAGAGAGAGAAAGAAGAGAATGGCTTTGGCCTCTGCTTTCAATTGTGCTTGGTTTAGTTTTAAGCGAGAATAGAGAGTGTGGTGGACTGGTAGTTAAGATTGGGCAGTTAGAGACGGCCAATTTTTATGCTACAAAAATACACTATCATCTGAACAATATTGTAAATAAAAAATAAAAAATTAAATAAAAAAAATACATGAATTAAATTAAATATAAAGTCTATAACATTGATAATTAATTATCTTGTGGGATCATTTTTGCCACATTTTTTATGCTTTCTCGATAAGCTCACACTCTCATTTGTTAAATTGATTGTACCATATTATCATGAAATCAATTCAACCATTAAAATGTGAGTTGATGTAATAAAAATCGATATAGTAATAGTTTTTTTATATTAAATTTAAACAAAATAATAAAGTAAAGAAGAAGAGAAATACATAAATTAAATTAAATTATACAACATATAATGATAATTATCATAAAGATTAATGTGTACATAGGCTACAATATTACATGATATATATTTGACTATTTAATAAATACACACATGATGCAAAATATACAAAGTGAACTTTACTAAAAAGGGTAGTAGCAGTTATTAAACTCTTGATGGAGCTGCGTGTCTATTCTTGTTAAATTGGGCCACTTTTTTTTTACATCAAATTTACGTTAAGGTTTTGTCATTATTAGTGAAAGCCAAGACGACGGAAAGTGCGAGGAAGGTGGAGTCCGGGTCGTGCATTATATGCTGCCTATTTGAGCACATTTAAATTCATTATATGTGTTAAACTCATATTTTTTAAGAAGGTAATGAATTCGACTCTCAGTAAAGATAGTGTGTGAATCATTTGTTTTATCTTTTTTTTGAAAAAAATTAGATTATAACATTAATCTTTGGACATTAAAAATAGATAAAAGAGTTGGTGATTGATGCTGCTAGTGTTTGATTTTGGTTCAGAGAATCAAAATCAGTTCTTCTCTTTCATCCATTACTTTTTTTTTTTTTTGGGGTTCAATTTAAGAAAAAAAAATGCTAATAATCAATTTATATACAAATATATATCATTTGAAATCCACTAGACGATACTTATAATCTCACTTAGACCAACTGTCCAACTAGATTTTTTTTATTTTTTTGTGGCAAGGAACTCACATACACTCACTTTGCTCCTTTGGAGATTCAAACCCTCATCATCCACTTTAGAAGGTAGGAGAGATACTAAAAAAAAAAAAATTAATTAATTGAAGTGGAATGTTTTGCAAGAGCATTGAAATCCATCTGCAGATCCACTGTAAAAGCACATTAGGTTTTTGAAATTTGAATTCACCCAAATTAGGTGGTCCATGGGTGAGCAAGGTTTTGGCAATCGTCTGGCCCTGGTCCAGTAAATTGCAGAAACACCAATGGACTCACATTGGGCCTCAAAATCCCAGGCCAGGCTCTTTGAAATTTTTTATTCGGTTTTTGGCAAGGGTTCAAATAAAGAAATAATACCAACTCAAATTAGGGGTGACACGAGGCAAGATTGGATAGGTAAGATACCAATTTTCATTCAAAATAAGCGTATCTCCATTAAAATACTCTTTTATGTAAAATAGGAATAGTATGATGTGTAATTTTGTTTATCTCTAAAAATTTGTTAAGATACACTATCACATCACCTATGTATAAAATTATTGTGTATTTTATATAGTCATATCAACATATTTCCTTTCTCCTTCATCTTTCTTTTACTATTAGGGAATCAACCATATATTAAGTAAGTTTGTAAAATTATGTGGGTTCAGGTATGACACTGACAGTTGTTATTTGGGATATATTTTTACACAAAAGTATAAAACAACAAGCTGAAGCTAAAAATAAATAATCTAAATTTTTTTGTATAAATCTAATATGACACCTCAGATCTACAAAATATATATATATATATATAGACACACACACACACACAACAGTTAGAGATGCTCTAAACTCCTCTCCTACCTAATCCAGCCCATTTTAAGTTTTCCTCCACCGATGGCATCCTTTAAATCTATAGTCAATTTTTTTTTTTTTATTCTTAATTTTTGTAGTCAAAATTTACAAACTCATATTTGAGAATATAAATCAAATAAACATTCTCTCAAAATTTACAAAATGGTATCAAATTAACAATTTTCGAATAATAAGGACAATTTTGTATATTGCAAAATGTGAATTATTATTTATAAACAGAATGGTTGACCTTCCTGTCCCGGTCTATGCTCATGTTTTCAGTCATAAAATTTCAAACAGAGATGACATGAACTAATGCTTATTTGTCGGGGGAGAATGCTTCCTACTAGTGTGTGTTTTTTTTTTTTGGGCAATCCCTACTGGTATAATATTTTTTTTTTTTAGTCAACCACTACATCATCATTCAAAATTTAACGTTACGTTGTAACTTTTATAAGTACGACTAATAGTACAAACAAATCTGATCCTTGCCATCCACTTTCAATGTCTTTTCTTCATCTTTAAAAAAGTTGAACACAATACAATACGCTCGACAAAAACATCAGTGACAATTTCATAACCCGAACACATTATTTGAACCAACACAAAGCCTAAAAGCCATAGTGCCAAACCCTGCAATTTCAAAAGTAAACCAAAGACGCTTTACAAAGCTAAGATCACAATCAAGAGAGAGACTACAGAGAGAAAAAGAAAGTAGAGAGAGAGAAAGAGAAAGAAAGATATCAATATTTTTTTTTTCTTTTTATTTTTTTTATCTTTTGGTTCATTGCCCCAGTGGCATGTTTGGTTAGCAGATAACTAGATATTTGTGCCAACTGGTCAACGTTTTCCTTCTGGGGTCCAATGTGGCGCAGCGGGGCTAAAATGTGCCGAGACCACTCTTGAGTCAAGGAGTTCCAAAATGGGTGTGAAGTTGACACACCTTGGAACCTTGTATTGATTGATTGACGCACCCCTAGAGATTGCATAGTCCATCAGCTCCTCAAATGTGCCATTTTTCACCACCCTTATCTCCAGTGGACCGATTGAGTTGTCCGCCACTCGGCCTTGTCGGTACACCGAGTTCATTGACTCTTCCATGGCGAGGCAGCACCGGTTCAAGACCTCGTGACTGGGGGAGTCAGCCGGGTCTTTCACTAGCAGCTCCCAGTAGATCACGTAGTGTCCCGGGATGGTTTTGGTATCAGCATAACTAGTGTACTCCACTACACTAGTGTTGAATTCACGCAGCAGTAGGGAAGCATTTTCAATACCCTTTTGCAACTCGGCCTCGTCGGTCTTGTCCGAGTCAATGCTCAACAAAACATTCTTCCTCCTTATGAACTCGAATTGCGGGGCCGAGTTGTGGAACCCGGTGACTCGGAGGATGTCACCCACTCGGTACCGGCACAGTCCTGCATAGGTGGTGATCACCAGCTCGTATTCCTTCCCCAGTTTGACGTCCGCCAGGTCGACCAGCCGGGGAGGTGAGTCATGACTCAGAGGTGGAGCTACCGGGTCGTGGGGAAGGAACTCGAAGTAAGCCATGTTTGGCATGATGGTGTAAGACACCTCCGAAGGCTTGCTCATTGGCTTAAGGTTAAGCCCAAAATAGCACTCAGAAGAAGCATACATAGTGCAAGCCAGTGGCAACCCACCACTGTAATAATCCAGTGTCGGAATGTACTGAGCCATCGCCCCAGTAACGATCACGTCGAGATATTTAGTCTTGGGCCAAATTCTGGTGATAATGCCCTCCCAATTCTCAACACCACATTCTTTGGCAATGAAATGAGAAAGTTCAGGGTTGGGTTTGAGGAGATTTGACATGCATTGCCGGAGTGAAGGGTCAGTGATTTTAGGGTTTAGAGTACCGGTGGCGATGTCGTGGACGAGTTGTTTGAAATTGAGTTGAAGGAAGTGGATAGCTCGGAGTAAGCCGGAGGCGAAGACCGCACCGAGCCGGAGGACTTCGTGGCGGGAGAGGAGGCCGCAGAGCATCTGGGTGTACATACTTTGGAAAGAGTCAGTACATAAAATGGCCTCATCAGGACTCGTATAGACCATATAAGGGTCATATGGCCGAGTCTTGAAATGGTCACTTTTGTAGTAACTGGTCAGCACCGGTCGTGCAAGTAGCCCACCTGGGGTTTTGGTCTCGGCCTTCACGAATAAGAAGTACAAACCCTTCCCTTTGTCCAATCCTGGCACATAACTGTTCAAAATATTTCATTAAATTAATTATCTGGATTTTATATTTGCTTATAAACTAACATATATATATGTGTGTATATATATATACTCATTTTTAAATACTTACAGGTTCATCACAGGCATGAGAAGACTGTACAATAGCTGTCTTCGGTCCAACTCGTCATGAATAGTTGGCATCAGCTTTCTTTCACCAGCAGATGTCCCAGAACTGCAAGTCCAAACTTCATCATCAACACACATATGACACGTGCATGCAAAACGAATTTACATATACATGCATGCATATAAACAAATATATATATATATATATATATATATATACATGCATATATGATTTATATAAAGAATTATATTGTTAGAGTTTAACCTGGTGAGGAACTCAGAGATGGGGTGAGACGAGAAGATAGGGGAGCAATCGCCATTAGCAATACGTTGGATATCGGGCTGAAGGTCCTCATAGGTGACGACCGGTACTTTTGACTTGAAGGTGTCTCGGTCGGTCCACCCACTGAGTAGGAACCGTCGGAGGTACTCGGTCTTGGAGTTTCGGGTCAGTATTTCGGCTAACACCTTCTCTTGCACCACATCAGTATTTTTGGTCATCTCTTCAATGAATTGAAGAGCTTTGGAGTCCTTCCCGCAGGCCGAAGGGCCAGCCGAGGACGAAAGACGAGAGTCTACGGCCATGATAGTATCAGAAGTTCAATTAGTTGTAAGAGAAAGAATAAGCTAATTGAGTGAGAAATCAAGGGATTTTTGGTGCAGGGTGATGAAGGGAGAAGCAGGCTTTATATAGGGAGCTCAACAGAGAGGGGTTGTTACAATGGGATGCTACCTGACATAAATACTTTAGTGCTTTTGAAATGCTACTATTAATTACTGAAAAACACTACAGTATTAGTCCCATAATTATCTTGCCCACCGAAGTTTTTTCTCCCATGGACTTTGACATAGGATTGTAGTATACCGACATTGAAATATTTTGTCTTAGAGAATGGTTTGTGGGAAGAGGGGACACGTGGGTCCACAGACGTCAGCAAAACATTTCGATGGGAGACAGGTGAGGCCAATATGTCTGCCAAGTCAGCTGGGCACAGTTTGGTGGATTTTGTCCGGATCCGGACCAGATGACTCTTTTCTGCCTTTCTGGTGAGTCTGTTGGTCACGGACTGCGATAGCCTGCCGGCGAAATAGGCAATTTTTACTGTCAATGCTGCGTACTATATATATAACATAGATATACTTTAATACATAGTCTAGGAGAGACGGGATGGCGAAGGCTATATCCAATATTGGGGAGGATTCTAAAGGCTATATAAATTAGAGTTTAATAAAATATTACAAGTTTTTTAAATACTACTGACAAGTGGACTGAAATTCAATATAACATTATCTAGAGACTAATCAACCTAATTCTAGAAAACATATGGTTGTGTATTGATCACGTGAACATCCTCGTTGCTGTAATTTCCTTTAAATTGTAATATCTGCATTGTAATTCTCCTATCTTATTGTCAACTATATTTAATATATAGTAATTTTATATCATTGAAGGTGGAAACATTTTATAGACTTTTAACTTAATTACAAAGAAAGAAAAATTAAATTTATTTGCTATATCGAAGATATAAGAAATTCCTTCTCCCACCTCTCTCTAGAATTCATATATCTCAGCCCAAAAAGATCCCCTTTCTTTTCCTTACTCCTCCTATTTATAGAGGTTTACAAATGTCGATGGACTGCTGGATCTAGGCCCGTTCCTCCATGAGTCCCGGTCCTCTTTGATAGGCCTATGCGCGTTCGGCCCATATGATAGTGCCTTTTTATGGGCCTGACCCACCTGTACGGACTCAATGCCGCGTTTGCAAGTCACATCCGGCCCATCTCCTATCGGGCCTCCTCAACTGCCCCCATAATTACCCCTTGTTTAATAAGGGGGCAATTATTGAAGGCGTCTCATCATGACGTTGACGGCTCGAGAAACCCACATGGGGGAACGGACGGTCAGATCCAGAATCAATGTTCCGGGGCTCGATGAAGTTCTCACCTTCCTGACGCTTCGGCCCTCGGGTCCCCCTCGCCTTTATAAGGCTCTAGAATGCCACTCCATGCCTTTTTACCGTCTCCATCATCAGTCAAATCTCTCTCTTTTTAGAACAGCGCTAAGCTTTTTCCGGTGAAATCCTTCAAGAGTCGTTCTTCCAGCGGTCTTGCAGTGCTCTTTGTTGCTTTCTACCTCAGAGGTTAGTTTCGTTCCTTTTTACTTTCGGCAGGCTTCTTTTTACCCCTTCTAGATCCTTCAAACACTTCCACCATGGTTGTAGATCTAGATGTTCTTCGTATGAGACTTAGACTTCCTGACAACATCGAAGTTAGGGTTTGCCCTAAGGATGTTAATATTATGACCGGTGCCGGCCTCCTGCCCGGCGAAGTCTTATTCACGAACCTTCAATTGAATGTCGTTAGGTTCCCTCTGCACCCTTTCTTTAGTTATGTCTTCAATAGACTGGGGATATCCCCCCTGCAGGTAAACCCCAATTTCTTTAGAATCATATCCGTTATGCTTCTGTTGATTCGTGACAGAAATCTAGACCTTGACCTCATAGATCTTCTTCTGTGTTATAAGGTCAGTAAGATCCGAACTAACGAGCCCTTCTACCACCTCTACCCGTTCGAGAAGATGTCCATATGTACGGACACAATAAAATCTGAAAAGGGTTGGAGGGATAACATCGTGGGCATTAGTGGGGCTTGGTCTTCGCCGGCTGCAGAGGGTTACCCAATCCCGAGCGCCTTTGGCGTCTGTTCTGTTTCCTCATATAAGAAATTCAAATCTCACAAACATGATTGCCCCTGCGAAACATGCGTTCCCCGCTTTTGTACTTTCTTATGCCGTTCCTTAGGAATACCTTGTGATGACTTGAGTTACAGTGTTTGTAGGGATAGGAGTAATTACTTGAAGAAATACGTTCTGAACGATATTCCTTCCTGCTTAGACCTCCTCACTTCAGACAACCTCATAGCGCTCTCATCCCTCGGCTACAACATGAGCAGGCTTCAGATTCCTTCTTTTGGCAAGAAGAAAAATACTCCCCCAGCCACTCCTGCTGCTGGGGCAACCTCCTCTCCAGCATCATCCTCTTCCTCAGCCACCATCTCTGACACTATCCTGAGCACGGTGGCTATTAACTCTGTTGTCAGTACCCCTGCTGCCAACCCGAGCGCGTCTCCCCAAATTACCACAACCCCTGCTGCCGCGGGGGGCGCTCGGGACAAAGAACGAGGCAAAAGGCCTCATCCTGATAGTGGAATTGATCCTGAGGAGGAACCTCTCATAAGAAGGACCCGGGTTTCCGGGCCGGGTGCTCTCTTGCATCGCCCGATCAGAGCTCCTGCCCCCTCCGGGCCTATTGCAGCTGGTGCCTCTGCTTCTGCTTCAGGCTCCCCTTCTCTCCCCACCTTACCACCATGGGCCCCTCGGTACACCCGAACGGATGGGACGTTCGTGAAACCGAACGAGACCATGCTGAAGGATGGCCAGACCGCCATGGCGTACTATAGGAGCATGTGGACTCCGAAAGACCTTAAGGCGGCGAAAGGCCTATCCCAGAAGGATGTGTTCAGCCGCTTTCCCCAATCTGCCATGGAGGTGACTTTTATTTTCCAACTCATGAATTCTCTCATATTATTTGGTCTTGCCTTCGCCCGACCTGACTATTGGCTTAACCGTTATTAATGTACATCTATGCAGACATTGTTCAGAATGATGGCTATGCAGAAGCAGGTAGAGATGGGGAACGCCAGGGCTCGTAAGTTTTCTGATAGCCTAGAGGTGGCTAATAAAGAAAATGACCTTCTCGCCAGCAAGAATACCGAGGTACTGGCTCGGCTTGAAAAAACTGAACAAGAGAGAGATGTCTTGAAGAAGGAGAACGACTCTCTTCAGGATGAGAAGGATGCCCTCCAGCTTGAAAAGAGCGTCTGGCAGACTGAGCGTGATTCAATCAGAGACGAAAAGGCAGAGCTCCAGCGCCTTCTGGCTGATGAACAGTCTGCTCGGATGGCTTTTGAGAAGAGAGCTCTGGACGAGCGTACCGCTCTGATTGATGCGATCAGCAGAGTGAACGGTGGGATGCTGGCTCTTCATGCTCGGTTCTCAAGGGTCGGTGCTCTTAGATATGCTCAAGGATTCCGAGAAGGTTTCTCCGACCGAGTTCCGGATGAGGAATAGACCAGCTCCACTCCAGATGAGGTCGACAAGGATTTAGGGATCGACCCTCTGGGGGTCTATGTTGACCCAGAACCCACCGAAGCGGAGCGCATATTTGATGAGTGCCAGGACATTGCTTCCTCAAGGATCATTACAGCTCCTCCTACCGCTCTGCCTCTGACCGCTCCTCAATCGTCAACTGTGGTACCTCCCATAGCCACTGCTGACGTTGAGCCCCAGCCGAACGATTCTGTCATTCATCTTGATTCCCCACCTCGTGAGGGTGAGACGGCTGATGGGATCGAGGAGGCGGGTCGGCACAACCAGGATGCTGTCGGTACTGAGGCAGCTAGCTAGGACTCCTCCGGACTCTTCGATTCCATACCTTTTTGTAACGATGTGACTTGAATATCTCATTTTTTGTAAACTCAATGCTTATTATGAATGAAATGACAAAACTCTTTTTCCCTTTTTTCCTTTGTGTTGTGCTCTGTTCAACCTATTTTCAATACATATATACCTTTTCTCTCTTTTCTTTTATATTAACTTTGCCGTGTGCTTGTTTATGGCAAGTGTCTGGCGTTCGGCTTGTGGTGCCAGCTGCCACTTGTCTTGCTTTAGTGCCTGGCGCTCGGCTAGAATGCCACTTGGCTTTAAATTTTTAGCAAGTGTCTGGCGTTCGGCTTGTGGTGCCACTGTCACTTATCTTGCTTAAGTGCCTGACGCTCGGCTAGAATGCCACTTGCCACTTGGCTTTAAATTTTTAGCAAGTGTCTGGCGTTCGGCTTATGGTGCAAGCTGCCACTTATCTTGCTTAAGTGCCTGGCGCTCGGCTAGAATGCCACTTGCCACTTGGCTTTAAATTTTTAGCAAGTGTCTGGCGTTCGGCTTATGGTGCCAGCTGCCACTTATCTTGCTTAAGTGCCTGGCGCTCGGCTAGAATGCCACTTGCCACTTGGCTTTAAATTTTTAGCAACCCATTGAAGAGGAAAGTTATTTTTGTAAACTTCAGTAATTTGCACATTCATACGTACTTGATTGACAACAAACAACATCCAATTAAAGCCGAAACTTAGCTTTTATTGGTAGTACCTCTTCAGAGACGTGGCGTTCCAGGGCTTGCTGACCAACCTTCCCGCCATGGTTTCCAACGTATATGCTCCCTTGCCTATGACTTCTGCAATTCTGTATGGGCCTTCCCAGGGTGGCATCATTTTTTTGACTATCCCCACCTTTCTTTTCAGAACCAGATCGTCAGGGGCAAAATCCCTGTGTTTTACTCTTTTGTTGTGACTATTCGCCAATACTTGCTGATATGATGCTAACCTTATAGCTGCAGCGTCCCTCCTTTCGTCTATCATATCGAGGTTCAATCTTAACATCTTGTCGTTCTGATCTTGACTCAATGCTAAGCTTCTGATAGTGGGGACCAAGTGCTCAACCAGTATAACTGCCTCGGTACCATATGCCATTGCAAACGGGCTCTCCCCAGTCGGCCGCCTGGGGGTGGTTCTGTAAGCCCATAGGACGTTCGGGAGCTCATCCAACCACTTCCCTTTATGGTCTTCCAG